TAATGTCCGCTTCAGGGCACACTTCTAAACTGATAAATCCAGTTTCGTTATTGGATTTGCATTTGCTCAACGTCTGAAGACTGAATGCGTGAGAGCTCAAAAAGATACGCAGAAAAGAAACATGCTCATCACCTTAAAACAGGACGAATTTACCACTTTCTCAAAGAAGTGGTTTTAATAGGTCGTACTACTGCTTTGAGTTACGATATATGGTGCTTATGACCTAATGTTCCTGAATGGGCAACTTGCTATGGACTAGAAAGTGAAAACTGTCAAAGACCGAGGGGAATTTCATTTAGAAAATCATTGAAACCGTGCTTTGAAAATTTTGTGTTTACAAAAACGTTTTTTGAAGAATGATGGGCCGGCTTTGATAATAGCCCAAATTTCAACTGCCTGTAAAACATAGTCAGCAGAATAATTGGAACGCATCCTCATACCATTGAATTTCGCAGTGCAACATGTCATTGATTCGGAGATGTACCTCCTGCTTTTGTATGGTCAAGCGCAGACTGTAAGGCAGAGGAATAGGGAGAGCACATTCTTCATAGCGGATGCTGAATACTGAGTCAACCTCAGTGACCACTCTTGTTGTTCCTATCGTATACCAACAAATGAGGCTAAAGAGTGACTCAAATGATAGCGTGATTCTCTGATTATGGTGACAAACGGAGGTCCTTGGGGTGAGAAGGGGATAATAATTGTGTTGATATTTAGTGATCACTCCAAACAAGAGGTCAGTTTCAACAGAAATAACTTAACAACGGTCAACAATGAGGACAAACGCTTACTTGGGTCAGCAACGAAGGACCCTATGGCTAACGCGGTCGACGACTAATTGCGAATGTGTTACACTAGACAACTGATAGATAATCAGTATGCACTCTAAAGTGTGGCTGTTGATACGGTTACAACAATCAGATCTCAAGTGGATGGTCAGTGTGCTTCCCCAACCAGTCAGGAATCAAAACAAAGAATCCAGTCATTATCCCGCTAGAAATAAAACTGACCTCAACAAAAAATTCTTGATAGCGACGCCACCAAGATATGCCCAAACGTTTTATTAGTGCTGTGAACCCACAGTGGAAAAAAACATATCCATAAAAGGGTTTAGATCTGCTAACTGTGGTAAAAACTTCACGACAACCTATATCCGAAGTTAGCGGATAAACCTAAACCAGGATGCTTCGAAATGGAATAAAGTGACAAAATATATTGGTATAAATATTGGTTTAAATATGCGTGATGAATTATCCGGCTTCATAGCTCTGTACAAACAAACCTGCACCGATACACCAAGCGGCTGTTATAGCGTCTGTTGGCTTCTTGGATGGTGATCCTTTTGATTTTTGTCAACATACGGCTCGAGAAAGTGACTCACTCAGTAACGCCGCTACAAAACCTGTTTTGAGCCAGAAACCATCTTCTAAATGTGCTGGCATTGCTGTTGATATTTTCCTCAAGTGGTTCAATGGTTAAAAACCTGACTGCAGCCTGTCTGCTTAAATAAATCCACCTGTCCTATTTGTCTCGATATTCGGAGCGAGTGTATGGCTATCATAACACTTCCGGTGAATCTGACTCCATAAAACAGCTTCAGTGATTAATGCCCATAGAATCTTGCTACTAGATATTTTGTTGTGGTCCTCACATGTGATTCAGTACCGTGTATACACTCAACGATGAGCCTGTACAAGTGCGAAGAACGTTATGCTCCAAACCACTGAAGTTGCGAAGTTCTCTTCTCCAAACTTTAATTCCTTCTGCGCAAATAGAGCTCTTCGTTTGGAGACATGCTCATACACACGCTTGATGTACCTACTTCAATGACTATTCGTTTCCCTTTTTGTAGAGAACGAAAAAAACCGCTATGTTAATGGCTTTTGGCTTAACATGCCATCCACAGGTCCTTTGGTGTACAGGAAGCTGAATTAAACCCGCAAACATTATTCAGAAAAAGTACTTAATTCGGAACGGAAAATACAACATATGAAATAGCAACGGTCACAGATTAATGGGGATGGCTCCTGCCTGCTGGTTTATCAATTCGGTACCAAAGTGTGACGTGCAGACGCTTCAACAAAATAGTGCAAGATGCCTTGTATATTTTTCGCCTGACATGCAAGGTGGTGAATTTCAGAGTTGACTTTTGTTGTTCAAACTCAGAATAAGGTGTTGGTGACTTTTAACAGTATACTCTTGATTGTGCCTTCATAATCTCGGTTAACAAGAGCAGAATCGATGGTTTCTAAAACTGTCTCTCATTGCTGTTGAGGTTTTGGTTCTTTATTTCGCTTCCTGTTAAGTCTTGAACACCCAGTCACTGCATGGTTTCCTGTCCAGAATATGTTCATAATTACATGTACTTGTATTTCTTCTCAGCCATCCTTTACTTGTATTCTCTCCGCATATCTCACTTGGAGGCCTCACTTGGAAAACGCCAGATTTAAAAGTTCACAAAAACTTGCAGTACTATTCCTTTATAAGCAGTCGTTAGGAACGAAGAAATTATGATTTCAGGTTTTTATCTAATCGTCCGAAACTCAGCTCAGGTTAGTTCGGTTTGACAGCAGTGAGTCATGTAGGTATCTACCGGGGGTTTGCCTCGGTGCAGATTGCAGCGGCGCTCAGTTTCAAGAATGTATACAAAACATCAAGAAAGTTCTTGATTGAAAATAGGAAAATACGCGCAAAAGTCTCACTGGTTGCGTGATGGTGCCACGTCCATTAGTATGTCAGACCGGTGATTTGGCGGGCTTCTGGTACCCCATCTTTGTAAACGTGCACCAGTGCGGCTAATAGGCATTGGTTTGTACTTCAGGCTTCAGCCGCAAACCATGCGCTACCTTTTTCTTGTGACATCCTAATGCCAAACAATCGATCATCATCAACATCCTCATCGACAGCATGACATCAGTGTTCAACACTGATGCTTCACTGCCGTACAACCATGATTTATTTGATCAACTGACATAGAAAGCGTACAGCCATATCATCGTAGTTGCCGCAGTTGAGTCAGTCCATCATCTGGACAATTAGCTGATCTGTTGCCAAAACCCGTTTGTTCTAAGCGGACATCGCTGATCCGCTGTGCCTATAATGCACTTGCAAAGCTTTTGCCAAAGTCGTGGTCACACATAAGTCAGGGTAATGTCCTTAATAAGGAGTGCCATAAAATAACACCAAAATGTTGCACTGGATACTCCACCCTTCGACGGTACTCTAACAATGCTTCTGTTCAATGAAAAGAAGGCAGAATTTTTTCTAACAACTCCAATATTTAGTCAGTCGGCAGTGCCTCCATCTAGCGACATTCAGCTACCCAGACAAGTAAGTTTATTGACCATCTCTGTTTCTGTATTCACCAAAAATATGGGAACTGCACAAGCTAGGTCGCATGGCAGCATTAGTTGGGTTCAGCCATTTAAGGTTATTCCCCGTAGTTTGTAATAGATGCTGGCGTAAGCAATTGAGTTTTTAATTGGGAAGTTTCACTGTTCTGAGAAACAGACATTTTCTTTTTCCGTCGGAATATTAAAAGTTTCGTTTTGAATCCCGTGGACGAGTTAAAATAATGCTATCCCATAAATTCAACGGACAATGAGTTTTTCTCAGCCACCTACAGTTAAATTCCATGCTTTGTCCGGATAGCCTGGCTCATCAGGAGAAATTGGGTCAAGGTTACAGAGGAAACGGTTAGCTGCCTGACCTGTAGCCCTTTTCTTCACCGTTGAGCACTAGGCTATTATTGTAAAGCATCTTCCACCTTATTACTTAAAAATTCATTTTTAAATATAAGTTAGAATTTATTTTCCTGGTTCATATGCAAGGTTTCTTCAATATTGCGAAAACCAATTGTGAGTAGCAGAAACTTTTCCCTCAAAGTTGTCCTTTGACTAGATGATCTCCATAATAAAGTGCTTTACTTTATATCAAAGGGTAAAACTGTGCCGCAAATCTTTTCTGCACCTTTCCACAGCTGCCTCTGTGATTCCTTCGTGGGACTTGGTTGACTACCGCAAAGCTTTCAAACTGTCGTACATTACCTCGGAGGAGGAGGCAAGGAGAACGAAGAATTCTGGACAATATTGCAAAAACACTGTAATTAGAGTCTTTGAGTGCTCTTAGTTGGTGAGTCAAGGATTCAACCGGGTGTATACTATGTATCAAGGGTACGTCGCTTCAAAGTACACTCGGATCTCTTCAGTGCATTCGATAACCTGCGGTGCAAGTAGCATACATATGTGGTGCCATACAACAAAGATTACGACTGCAAAATACCAAAGCCTAAAGAAAAAAGAAAAAAACATCAGCAAATACTGTAGATTAAAACCCCTTAATAAATTTATACCTAAAATTAGAACGTCATAAGGAAAAGCGTTGAAAATTCCACAAACATCTGAGGGAGCAAACTAGATATAGCCAACTAATGGTAGCATTCTTGGGCTAATAATCAAGTGGTTTGAAAAACTGGGTCACCATTGACGACGGTTTTAGGGCACGCACTGTTCATTATAGGCATACAGGCGTGAAGTGAACCTTGAGAAAATATAAATCTTGAGGCTTAATACAATTTTTCGGCTTATATGTGGCTATCGTACATCTTCAGTTTGACTCCTTCGCAGCGTTTTGCAACGCTTATAACGCCTTGACGTAGGCGACTAACAAGCAAACCGAAGAACTCTCGCATCATCAGTTATGAGGTAGCTGTAAATTGAAATTCATGGATTTGTCGATAGCACATCGGCTATGGTGCGCACATTTGACTAGAAGGCCTGTGGTTTGAACACATTCCTTGGTTTTTGGCTTTTCAGTCCAAAATCTTGAGAAATCCGTGTGAAAATTTACCAAGAGCCGTTTGTATTTGTGAGATACTAGTTAAGGCCAAGTTGGGTTGCGACGTACGAAAGTCAGAGACCTATTTAAATTTCCAAGAAGACCATGAACTCTTGAACACCAAGGAAAACAAATTCATGGCTTCAACGCGGCTATTTACTTACCTGTTTGGTTTCAGTGAATTCTGTTTTTGGTGGTGAAGATGAAAACTGGAGCGTGTCTACATTCTCTGTACGCTTAGCCAATGTCTCTGCCAACTCCATCATAAGCTGCTTTTGCATTGGTTGTATTGTTTTGCCAGCAGCGTTCCCACTCTGCGGCCAGCTATAAGAAGGTCTGGCGGTTAGCGCAGCCTCAGCCTTGTTTTCAGATTTTTCGACCACTGGCTTTCCATTACTTGGCTCTGGATCCAGGTCCTTTGGTTTTGACTTTGATAAAGGCGCAGTAGTGACCTTCGGTTTAATCCAGCTTGTTGCGGTCCTAAACTGTTCTTCTAGCTTCTGCGTAAGTACTGTATACTCAGGACGCTGACTGATGGAACTGCTTGAATTCCTATTGCTCGAAGGCATACTCAACGTCCGACGTTTCATTGTCCGGTTAACATCCGACGGATCACAATGTTCCAGGTCGCCTTTCTGGTGTTTTGGAGAATTCAAAACATCAGGCATTTCTAACAATGGTGGTTTTGGAATTGCGCCATTAATTGCCTCTCTTGACGGCCTCTTAGTTGTAGATTCAACGAGGTCGCTGTCCTTTTTAAACGCTCCTGTTTGTGGTTGTGAATTTGAACGTAGTATGGGTCGTCCAGTCGGGTTTTCAGAATGGCCGCCTGGTACCCACTCTCTTGGTGGCGGTCCGAAAAATCTAGACTGGCTTTCTAAGCTGCTACTTTGTCTTGCACTTTGAGTTTTCATGTCTCCTTGATGAGTCTTACTCATTGGTAATGTTGTTTTCACAGACGTATCGTGATTTTGCAGTACATTTTCTTGTTCTGCCCTAGAAGATATAATTTTCTGATCGTCGAATGTAGTAGAAGGTTGATAGTTCCGTTCAGCAAAGAGCTGCGATACGTTTTCATTATGAACACCGTTTAAAGATGCCTTTTTCTGACAACCCCTACCAAAAGCATGTTTCTCCGTACTATGCTTTCTTAGTGATGGTGCTTGAAGCGGCTTGGGGGGCTGTGAATTGTTCTCATCTTTTATTAGATGTGCCTTATCTGGAACAACGTCACGTGTATCATGAGACTTCTTGCATTCGGCCAAATGCTCCTTCATTTCTTCCAGTGTCTCCTGTTGGATCACTCTATCCTTCGGTTCGTCGGCTTTTGATCTGCTTATCCGTTCATTGTATCCATCCGAGTGTACAGCTTTTTGTGGCGGGTATCTATAGTGCCTATTTGAAAGATAGGGGTATGTCCACCAACATGTCTGCGGAAACCGGCTTGTCTCCAGAACATGAGCCGATTTCTCTCTCCTTCCCTCTGAATAAGAGTCTGCCTTACTCAGTGATATAGTATTTGATCGATGCATTACAAACGATTTACAGCGCCTGGCACCGTGACCTTGCAGGGCGCCAATGGAGCCCTCCTGCGAATCGTTCACCGATTTCCTCGCAACGTCTTCTACTGTCTTGCTTTCTGGAGGCCCGATGTTTTGGAGCACATCATTATGCATAGACAATGACACTGCGTAAGTAGGATTTTCAAATACATTTGAAACCAGTGAGCCCGAATGTCGTGAGAGCGGCCGACATTTTTCAGTACGCCTTTGCTCTCTAAATTGTGGTTTTGTTTGCACTTGTATAGAACTTTGTAAACTATTGTTCGAATAACTATCACTTGTTTCAGCACCCACAGCGACTGGCTTCTCCTGACCAGACCATTTATCCCAAGGACTGCACGGGGAGAGATTCACGGGAGCTGGGTTGTGTTGCATAATTTGTACTGGATTGTATTCACTACTGGGCCGTTGTGAAGTGAATTCCGATTTCGCATAAAGAGTGCCCGATGAAATAGGATATAACCTTTTCATTTTCGTTGACATTGCTCTCGGAGATCTGAAGGCTGTTAATTTTGTCGCATCCGACGCAGGTCTGTCGGCAAACTGAAAAGGAGCCGCAGTATAACTTTGATGAATCAGTTCTCTTTGGTTTGCCACGTCATTCGAATGAATGTAGCTAAATGGTGTCTGTTTTATATGTGTTGGAAATAAATTTTTGTTTGATAAATCCTCACTCAATGGGTTTGATATATTTGGTCGAAAACGCGCCATTTTATCTGATTTCAGGTTTTCAAATGTTCCATTTGCAGGCGATTCAGACAAAGAACCATCTTGTCCTGTTGAAACTAAGGTACGTTTCGTTGGTGACTTGGCAACTGGCGGAAAACGTATGCTAGATTCAAGATCGGTCCGTTCAGCGCCAAAATCTTCAACGGTACCGAAAACTCTGCATCCATTATTCAGGTTGATATCGTTATGTCCATTAAACGCATTTCCATAAGAATCGTCCGTAGAAATCATTTGCGTAGAGAGGAGACTTCCTCTGAAATTGTGCTCCTTTCTCTCGGAGATTCCCCTGGTGTGGGCTGCCAAATCTCCGGTTCTAGGTGTATTGGACAACCGCGGAGCTACCCCATTAATCTCACGAATATTATGGATACTCCCTTCCGAAAAATAACCTTTTGCTATTCCTGATTCTCTTCCAAATAGTGGAGGTCTGCGGAAGACCGAGCCAGATTGGTTGTACTTCCCCCCAGAGTCTCCACGCAGAGCAAAATCATATTCTGACTTCAAAGATGCGTTGGCCGATGACCCCCGTGAAGAACGAGCCACTTTGTTGAAAACGTTGTAAGAAGATGACTCAGTATCACTGGCGAATTTCTCTTTTGTTTGTTTCACAATACCGGGTTGGATTCCAAATGTAGAACACACAACAGCTTCTGCAGACATATCACGTAGGCCACCCACAAAAGTCGAACGACCCCGGTTAAACATTTTCCATGTATTCCCGTTTTTCGTACCGCTGTTTTTACGATGATTTCAGCAGATTAAGTTAAGTTTCACGAGTTGCAGAATCACTCTTGGGTCGAAATGCAAGGCCTGTCAACATATTGCAGTAGGGTGTACCCAAATCCAGCCAGATGGACCAAACATTGACAGTCAGAGACACTTATCGGCATTTTGTATCCTATCCACGATAACAGGTCAATATACACTGCAGAAACATCACCACAACTCAAGGCGAGCGTTTTCTCGTGCAGACCGTTGAATTACCGCCACTCAACCCTGGTTTAACTTTCAGTGCCAGTTCAACAGACAGACATGCACGCAAATAGGATGTCAAAAGCTCCTAAGTTCGGACCTTCATGTATCTCGTTTGGACTAAGCTCCATATAATGCCTGGAGCTTAAGGCAGTTCGTGGGCGTCACTATCTCTGGCGCGCTGAGTTCTAAATCAGGTTTTGGGATGGCGCGCCGCGCACAATGTATTTTCTGCAAAAACCATTGTGGTTGAAATAAAATATTTGTGTCAAAATTTTGCATTTCTTCGCCTAGTTGCTGAGTCCAAAAATCACCCTCATGTGTGGTCACCTTTCCGCAATGTATTTCAATCAATCTGCTTCCGAAATTTTCGGCGCAGTTGCTGTGCTACGGCTTTGGATGTGGCTTCACAGGCGTTTGTTGAGAAATTCCGCGCCGTATTCTTTTCAGCTTTCACTGCATTTGAGAAGGCTTTGAAACAATACATGAAGGGTAACCATAAAGTATTTGTGCGTTCATCCAGTAATCGAAGCAACAACGCTGTTTTCCGTTTAGAATGGGTGTACTGTGTGGCGTTTCGTAACTTTATTTTACTTCCATTATAACACTAGGTATTTCATCAATTGTATAATCGTTTTTTGTTTGAATACGAAAAGCTACAAAAAACGCGCACTTGTACAAGTTCACANAATAAAAGCGTGGTCACGTGCTTCGACTCTCTCTTCTGATTTCGCTCGCGCTTGCAGCGGTCATTCGCGAGTCTCATGTACTAACTCTGGTAACCAAAATATTCAGACATCTTCGGAATCTATTATATGTGGGAACTGTTCAGAAGAAGATTGTTTATTGTTGATTATTATTGATTATTGTTTATTCGCTGACCTGGGCCAACGACGATCTATTTTAAAGAAAACAATTGCTAGTGAGTCTGTTCCGTCTGGTCTCTTTATTATTGTATACCAAACCTAGCGTAACATTTTTATTTCTTCGCCACACACTCCTGGTAAACTGACTTATTGGGTAGCCAGACCAATACAAATTTGGTGAGCCCGAGTATTTCTAGATATTTTTTGAAAGCTTTCCCTTTCAAGTCGTCGCAATTTTTTTGCCCGGTAATTATGCAGGCACACTTTGATTCAGCGGAATTAGTCGAGAACGCAATTGGCATACGTTTGCCAGACTACAATCCACGCAACCCCAGGGTATGGTTTCATCAGATGGAGGCCGTTTTTGCTACCCGACGCATCACTTCCAAAGTCACCCGGTTTTCCTATGTAGTCCAGCATCTTCCTTGTGATGTAGCAACAGAAGTTGAAGATCTGTTGGAAGATATTCCTAAGGAAAATCCGTATGACGCCCTTCGAGCGACCGTCATAAGTCGGAGAGGGAAATCAGAGAACAAAATGCTTCGGGATCTATTCACCGCCGTCGAACTTGGGGACAGGTCGCCAGCACAACTGCTTCGCCACATGCGCAGTCTCCTCTGCGGCCATAAGCTGGCGGTGGAAATCATGGCCCAACTATGGCTCGACAAAGTCCCACCCTCCATGTCCCACGTCATCAGCGCTTTCGTTGCTGACCACAGCTTGGAGCAGCTAGCCCAAATGGCGGATAAGATACACGAAACATATCCCGGTAACCCCGTAAACTCCGTCTCCCGCCCTGCGCCCACTACAGATTCCCACCCGCTTCTTGCTTCTATATCGCACCTACAAGCCAAGTTTGATGCTTTGACCGATCGCCTGCAACGGTTAGAGATCAACAGGCATCGACCACAATCACGATCCAGATCGTTGTCTCGTGCGCGTCCCTCTTGGTGCTGGTATTACCAATCTTATGGCCCAAAAACACGCAAACGTCAACCACCTTGTTCCTTCAAGCCGCGTTTTAACACCCCTTTAAACACCCCGGCCAGTCAGTAACGACGAAGACTGTCTGTGGCCCTCCTCGCACGAGTCGCCTGTTCCACATCATCGATCGTTCAAGTGGTCTACGTTTTTTGTAGATACGGGAGTTGAAGTTAGTGCGCTACCACATAAGAATCCACTCCTCGATTCCGCTCCTTTCTCGTTACAAGCCGCTAACGGTACCCGCATCGCTACATACGGCGAACGTTCCCTTACTCTTGACCGTGAATTGCGACGTG